ATGAGTTTGAATAAAAAATAATACATTGGTAAACTCGTCATCTCGACGTTATGAATTATTTGAACACTATAACAAATGTCGTAGATCCAAAAATAAATTTTTATATGCCCTATTGAACTAATTAATAAAACAGTTTACCCAAAAAAAACCGATTTTTCTTCGGTGTGAACTTCAATTGAATAATAAAATGAGTATAAAATTAATATTTCTTTTCAAGAATTCAAGAAACCTCGTCATTTTTTCATTTATATTGTTATTTATTTCTAGTCAAGTGTTCTTTATTTTAGACAACTATTCGAATATAAATTTTTTAATGAGAATAATATTTCTTTTCATTAACGAATTCATATGATAAGTTCAACAACAAAATTTTCTTTATATTTATAATCTTATAATCTTAAAATAAAATCTAAGTGTGGATTCAACCTTAAGATCATGAGAATTCATTGCTTGACAATAATTTACATTTGAGTAATAGACTAAAAGACTCGGTCACACAACACTTCCAAGAAATAATATAAAGAAAATAATGTATCTAGAGGCCTCCCCAGGATAGTCCTATGTCAATTTCAACTCTTTTGGCGACTTCATACAACAAATTACACAAGTACTAATGGTAGACGTATTGACGGGTTAAAAACTTCAAGAAAACATATTGGTTATATCATAATCTACTCTGACGCCATGATAGAATAGGTCAAAGATTGATTTGCATCGTATAAATATACAGTATAAACTTATTAAGTGATCTCGGTGATTAAAAGAAGGGTTATTCTTTTTAGAAGTTCTACGTTCAAACAGTTGCATCTATGGGTGTGGTATTAATGATTAGAAAGTTTTTTAAACAGATACTACCTTGTGATCACCTTAAGATTACAAAGACAAAGTCAATAGTTTTTTAAGGTCGAAGTTAAATAATTTTTTTAGAGAAATTGTATTTTTATCATTATATTAATTTAAAATGATGTCATACTTAAAAGGATCAAATCATAAAATACCATATAACCCTTTATGTCAAACCACAAACTCACAACTTAGGGAGGAGGCCAAGACCCATGCATGTAAGTGTTATCACATGATAATTAACATTTGATGTATTGATTGGGTATAATTTCATAAATCACCAATGAATTATATATTGATACGTTATTATAAAACATTAAAATTTTAATTTAATTTTTATTTAGTTGATAATAAATAAAATTATATATTGTTAATACATCAAACATTCTCTTATTGTTTAATAAATTTGTGAAGTTTAAAAAATAATAAATTAGGTTTTCCAGAACAGATTTCAATAATTAATTTTCTTTCATAAAAATTGGCATATCATTGTTTTTTTACACGTCAAGAATAATATTAAAGAATAAATATATTATTATGATAATTATTAAACGGTCATGTTATTAAAATTATATATCACATTCGATAATCAAGTGACCAATAACTAAAATATTTTTTTAAGTACTAATCAAGTGATTTACTCTTATTTTTTAGATGTCAACAACAACAACAACGTAGAGTTGCCGTCAATGGGTTTAAACAAATGTAAGGGTTAAAGACGAAAGTGAGTCAATTTCGTCATTAGTACCATTAGAAAACGTATTTCATCCGTCTTTTGTTATTTTAGTCTTGTTTATTCAATCTTACGGTTTAATTTAACTTGCGAATAAAATTATTTTAATGAATAAGAAATAATATTTTTTAAAAGGGACGGATACAAAAGTTTAGTTCGAGGTACGATAAGAAGTTACATTAAAAATTTTAGGGGGTGCAAAGTTATAAAATTCTAGTGTATAAAATTATATAATCAATAGAAAATGTAAAGTAAAAACTTAAAATATAAGAAAATTTAAAATTCCTAGTGGGTGCGACCTAGGGTTGTAAACGAGCCGAGTTGTGTTCGAGTATTGCTGAACTCGACTCAAACTCAAAAAGTTTAAAATTAGGCTCGACTCGAAAACTCGTGAGCTAAAAATTATCAAGCTTAGCTCGAACTCGAAATATAATATTGAAACTCGACTCGAACTTGAAAAGGCTCGAACTCAAAAACATTTCATGAGCTCGATTGGAGCTCGAACTCGAATTTGAACCTACAAAAATCTTATATTACTTTTAAAAATGTATAATTATCAATAATGTATTTTTAATATATTTTTAATAATGTAATTTTAAAAAATCCAAAATTATAATATAACATTTTTTTCGAGTAAATCGAGAGCTTTTAGAGTCGAGTATTATATAGCTCGTTTTAGCTCATTAAGAATTCGAGTCGAGTTCAAGCTCGAGTCGAGTTCATTCGATTCGAGTTTTGACTGAGTCGATCTCGAGTAGCTTGCGATCTGTCTTGTCTCATTCACAGCCCTAGAGCGACCACACCCCAGCACCCCCTCGATCCATCCCTGCTTTTAGAGAACTTAGATTCGAACACCGGCGATTGCAGCATAAGTGAATGAGTATTCGTTGTCAAATGGTTGGGACTTGAGAGTATCTAGAACAAATATTAATACTACTTTTTAATTATCTTGACTTAAAAAATCCAATTTAATTTTTCTTTTTTCTTTTTTTAAAAGAAGAAGAAGTCCAATTTAAAGTATTTGGCCAAAGTTCACGACATGACGAGTGCAATTAGAAAACGCGTTTCAACCAATTTAATAAAGAAACACCGTCATTTTCGAAATACCGCTTGTTTATACTCTAATTATACTGAGAATCCACTGTTTAGTCACTATATAATTAAGGCTTAAAAATCCCCTTTACCCTCTAAACTAATATTTTTACTTGGTTGCCTTTTAAAAAAATTTAGACATCTTATAAAAAAATTGATCAATCAAATTTTAATCGATTAGTTTTAGTAAAATGAGTAAATGACATGTTAATTTTAATAGTTATAATTATCACTGAAGTGGTCTAATCAACTATCCCTCCGTCTCAATAATTAAACGTGTTTATTATTGACTTTTAAAAATCTAATTTTTTTTTAACTTTGACCATGATTATTTTAAATATTTTAAGCAATTAATTTTTATAAAAATATATATTTAAAAACTAATTGAATTAAGAATTTTAAAATATATTTTTCATATTTTTATCAACAATTAATTTTAAATAATAAAGAGTCATAGTTAAAAGAATTTGACCAAAAAATCAACAATTAACAAATTTACTAAGATAGAAAGAGTATTTTTTTTAACTATTTTAAAAAATAAGATAAGTAACTTTTAATAATTTAAAACATCCTAAAAAAGTACAAGATAACCCGGTAAAAAATATACTTTAAGGGTGCGTTTGGATGGAGGATGTGAGATTATCGGGGAAAGTTTTATTCTAGAATGTGATACCCATGTTTGGATTGCAAAGATTCTCAGTAAGGGGTAATAAGTCATTTTCAACAGTGATATTTTGGGGGCTTATTACGAGAATGTCATTCCTCCCAATCCCTTTGGTATTAATCTTTTCTCATGACTTTGGACTAAAATACCCTTAAAACAATTTTTTTTCAAAAATATCCTTCTCCTAACCGTTGAATAAAAAAATTCTAAGAAGGGTAAATTGTAAATCTATACTTAAACTATTTTAGATTTACAAAAAAAATCACAATTAGAATTTTATATGAAGTTCAGGGGTTAAAATAAAATTAAACCCTTTTATTAAAATAATTTATCTTTTAAATTTTGTAAAAAAATATATAAATTAAAAATAATAAAATTATATATTTTTTTATGATCTTTTATATAAATATTTTCTTTCGAATATTAGAATTCAACTTGTTTAAAAAACAAATATATAGCAAGGACAATTTGATAAAATATGCATTTCATTAATCTTTTATTCTTTCAATTAAACATTGTAATCTTACATTCCTGCTAAACAAATCAAATACAATAATAAAACATTTTCCAGTAATGTGTTAGGTATTGTTATATTTCAATAATCATATTCTCGAAAGTAATGTTATATTTCATGAATCAAACGCACCGTAAAATACAAATCAAACTTCTAAAGGGACGGAGAAGACATTGTGGACAAAAAGGAATAGAAATATCTTTGAAGCTGAAATATGTGAAACAGAGAACACACTTGAACAAGGAAGATGAGTTGCAATGGAAATAACCAAGTCAAACGCATCTGCCAACGCCCATATCAGAAAACCCGAGAAGGAAAATTCAATAGCCTGGAGCCCACCAGATCCAGGCTGGTGTAAAATCAACTCGGACGGAGGACGACAACCAAGGACAGGTGAGGGCACATGCGGAGGCGTAATACGTGATCATGAATGTCGTTGGAAAATAGGATTCGCCAGAAATATTGGAATCTGCTCAACGTTGGAATCAGGATAGTGGGGCATCTACGAAGGGCTCCAACATATAGGGGTGTGTAAAAATATCCGACCTATCGACCCAAATTTAAAAAGAAGGGTAATTTTTCCCGGTTGGGTTTTTGACCGGGTCATCAAATTGAATTTTTTCAGGTACACGGTTAGGGTTTTTTAAGGGTAAACTACCTATTTGATCATTTATATATTATTTAATTTATGTTTTGGTCCTCGATTATTATTTAGGGTAAATTATGTATTTAGTCACTTATATATTATCTAATATATGTTTTGGTCACTCTATTATTAGTTAGGGTAAACTACCTATTTGGTCACTTATATATTATCTAATTTATGTTTTGGTCACTCGATTATTATTTAAGGTAAACTACCTATTTGGTCACTTATATATTATCTAATATAATTCATATATATTTTTATTTAAGGTAAACTACCTTTTTGGTCACTTATATATTATTTAATTTATGTTTTGGTCACTTGATTATTATTTTTTTTTCAAAATTATATCTAATGTTACGTTTTTATTCTGTTTTGGTCACCCATTTTTAAAAATGAACAATGATGCTAACATGACATTTTTTAATTATGTTTGGATGTTGGACTATGTAATTCGAAGTTTCGAACATTTAAATTTGTATGTGTTTTTTTAATTAATAATTTGAAGGAAAAAATCGGGTATTCGGGTACCTGAAATATGGGTATCCGCAAAATCCGAATACCCGATTATCGAGTACCCACAACATCCAGGTCGGGACACGGGCCGAGAAATCAATTACCTGAAGATCCGGGTACCCGGATTTGCACACCCCTACCGATGTGCATGGAAGCTTGACAAGATAAAAGTGATTATCGAAACAAATAGCAGCGAAGCTGTCAAGCTGATTGAGGAAGGAACCTCAACAGGAGGTCAACTAAGCCTGGTGCATCGGATAAAGCTCTTACTACAGCAAGAATGGAGAGTGACTTTAAAACAAATCCCAAGAGAAAGGAATAAGGTGGCGGATGCCCTTGCCAGCTATGCTAGAACGATCCCAAATGGATTCCATGAATTATCCCAACCCCCAGAAACAGTGGAGACACTAATTCAGAATGAAAGCAAGACCATAGTGTAGTTAAGTTGTTATTTTCCTTCTCCAGAACAAAAATAAATCTTTTAAACATATAATTAATTTAAAAAATATTAGTTTTTTTCCTCACAAAATTAAATTATAATGAAATGATAATTCAAGGGATGGAATTTATATTTAGATTGAAGTTTCAAGAAATGGTTTATGCAATTGAAACAACAATTATTGACAAGAGAATACTTAATAATGGAAAATAAGTTTAACTTCTTATTAATAAATTTGTTTCTGCATGCGTTCCTTCTTTCCATTGGCTTGGTCTAGCTTTGACGTGACTTTATTATAGAAGACGTGACATATTTTTTTAAATAGTTCTAAGAGATTAAAATTATTATATGTTTAAAATCATTTTCAATCATTAATAATATATATATATATATATATATATATATATATATATATATATATATGTAATTGTTTGAAAACTTATAAAAAGAATAACAATTTCTGTAATTATCAAAGTCATTTGGTGAGTTCAGAAGACGAGAGACGTTTTTATTTAAAAAAAAAAGTTAAAAGTGAGTCTATCTATAACTTTATGATTCGCTCGGCCTCAACTTACATATATAATCAGTTTTAATTTTTGAGTTGATTTGATTTAAATATATTTTAAATAACTCAAATATATACTTATGTAGATATTAATATTTTATAATTTATAATATTTAAATAAAATGTTATTTAATCAAATGAAACAAATTTTAAACCTAAATTATTTTAAAGTCAAACTTTAACTTGACTAAACCCGTAAACGTCTACGATAATAATATAGACAACAAGAATTTCTTCAAATTTTCTGTGGAAGGATTGACCCGCCATGGCTATTTTTCAAATCAAGTATCCCAAAAGCTACCATGACCGAGTCTAGACTTGACGTAAAATTCTCGAGAGTCTAAAAAAAATAAGTTAATTTAAGGTTAAGGAATGGTAGAGAATAGATTTAATCAAAAGTGTTATAAAAACTTATAATAATATCGGTTATGTATAATTTAAAATGTTAATTTTTTCTTAATATTTTCAGTTGAAACGAAAATATTACATTCTTCGTTACATTTTTTATTAAATCAAAAATATTAGAAAAATTTTTAAAAATGACATCTAAGGTTGTATCTAACCGAAAGGCGAAAATGTTATATTTATATAACATTTTCGGTTATATACATTTTCTGTGATTTTTTAACCTTAAATCAGATTGCGGTACTAATGTAGTACCCAGTCCACTCTTTCCTTTGATAACATATATGATTGAAGTGCTGAACATTATTTCAGGTGCCTCGTCTGCCATTTGATCTTCATTCCCACTCAGAATCATCCATCAATGGCTGTTTCAAGTGTCCATGAAGCCTCAACATCTATTCTTCAATGCACTTATCAGGTATTCTTGAGTTTTAGAGGCGAAGACACACGCAAAAGCTTCACGGACCACCTTTACATGGCTCTGGTGCGAACTGGGATTCACACGTTTAGAGACGATGAGGAGATCGAGAGAGGGAAGAATATCGATGACGAAATTGAAAAGGCGATACTGCACAAGTCCAAAATCTCTGTCATCGTCTTCTCGAAGAACTATGCTTCATCCACATGGTGCCTTAAGGAATTGGTGAAGATAGTAGAGCACATGAAATCATCTGAGCATATTGTTTTTCCAGTTTTCTATGATGTAGACCCAAGCCAAGTGAAGAAGCAGACTGGAAGTTATGGAGAAGCGTTTGCCAGACATGAAGAGAGCTTCAGATCCCAAATGAATATGGTGCACCAATGGAGGGATGCTTTGAAACAAGTCGCGGATTTGGCAGGCATGGTTCTACGAGATAGGTACCTTACATGCATATTAATCTTGATCATAATCATTTTCCATCTCACAATTATAAACTTAGTTTTAAAATTGACAGGCATGAATCACAATTCATCCAAGATATTGTGAATCAAGTTCGAAACAAACTTCATCCCACGGCTTTGTATGTGCCTCCATATTTAGTTGGGATAGATTCTCTTATCACACGCATCAATTGGTGGTTGAAACAAGAAGATCAAACCAAAGTCGGCATTGCAACAATCTGTGGAATCGGAGGCATTGGGAAGACAACCATTGCCAAAGTTGTTTACAATCAAAACATCCACATGTTCGAAGGCTACACTTTTCTGGCTAATGTTCGAGAAACAAGCCGAGACTCCAATGGCTTAATCCGTTTGCAAAGACAACTCATTTCGGATGTCCTTAAAGGGAAAGCACACAAAATATACAACACAGATAATGGGATCAACAGGATCAAAGAAGCTGTATGTTGCAGAAGAGTTCTTCTTGTTCTTGATGATGTTGAAGATTTGGAGATGATGAGGAAGTTAATAGGAACCCAGATTTCTTTTCATCCTGGAAGTAAAATCATCATAACCAGCAGGCACAGGTGTTTACTGAATGCTCATTTTATTAGCGAAATGTTTTGTGTGGAAGCATCAAGCAGGCTGTTTGAAGTAAAAGAACTGAATTTCAATGAATCGCTTCAACTTTTCCATTGGTATGCCTTTGGTTGCAACTCCATGCCTGAAAGTTTCGTGGAGTGTGCAGCAAGTTTAGTTAAACAATGTGGTGGACTTCCATTAATTCTTCAAGTCTTGGGTTCTTCTCTTTCCAGCAAAAGTATGAGTGTTTGGAAAAGTGCATTGGAGAAACTAGAAGCGATTCCCAGTAGCAAAGTTCATAAGATTCTGAGAATAAGCTATGATTCTTTGGAAGATGATCATGACAAGAATTTATTCCTTGACATAGCTTGTTTATTCATAGGGAAGGATAGAGATTACACAACTATAATTCTTGATGGTTGTGATTTCTATACGAGGATCGGGATTGAGAATCTATTAGGCAGGTCGCTGCTAACGATTAATGAAAAAAACCAGCTTACGATGCATCAAATGATCAGAGACATGGGACGGGAAATTATTCGACAAGAGTCGCCTGATATCGGAGAACGAAGCAGGTTGTGGCATAAGGATGCGTTCAATGTAATAAGAGAAAAGACTGTAAGAAACTTCATTTTACTCTACTTTGTTGTGTGTGTGTTTCTGAATTTTATTGAACTGTGTATTTTCTGATGCAGGGTTCAAAAACAATCAAGTGCCTTGCCCTGGACCTACAAGGATTGCTAGAAAACAAGTCTAGAAAGACTGAAACTACAACTCTGCATTTCCCAAAGCGTCCCAGAGATCGAATTCTCACGTCGAATGATGTTGATATGGAAACTCAAGCCTTTATGAAGATGCAAAGACTGAGGCTACTTCAACTGGATCATGTAAAACTCAAAGGGGATTTCAAAGACTTCCCCAAAAGATTAATATGGTTGCGTTGGCATGGATTTACTATGCAACTTTTTCCTGCAGATTTCGATATCAGAAGACTCGTTGTTCTCGACATGCGCTACAATAATCTTAAAAAAGTTTGGAAGGACAAAGAGGTATGATAATAATTGCAAATTCCCCTTTTTTGATTGTGTGGAACGATAATATATTTCTAAAAGAAGTATTTTTTTTTTCTTCCTTTTTGATGCAGTGTGTCCCAAATTTAAAGATCCTTAATCTCAGTCATTCACACAGCCTTCTCAAAACCCCCAACTTTTCAGGGCTCCCTAGTCTTGAGAAGTTGATGCTCAAAGACTGCATAAAATTGGTGGAAGTTGATCAATCCATTGGTGAGCTAAAGATGCTTACTTTCTTGACCCTTAAAGATTGCAAAAGTCTAAGGAAACTTCCAAGGACAATTGGTTCATTAACATCACTTGAAGAGCTCATTTTATCTGGTTGTTCATCCCTCGATAATGTTCCTACAGAGTTGCATGATATGAAATCATTGAAGGTGCTTAGTTTAGATGAAACTTCTATATATCAAACAAGATTTTGGTTGCCTTACCTCTTATTGAAAAGAAGCAAAGAATCAGGTTTCTCTTGGGCATCTCTGCCCTGCTCTTTGGTAAAGTTAAGTCTGGAAAGTTGCAGATTATCTGATGATGCCATGCCTAATGATCTCTGTAACTTAGCTTCCTTGAAGTATTTGAATTTAAGTAGAAACTCAATTCATTGCCTGCCTGAGAGCATAAAACACCTTACGAAACTCGATGAACTTATACTGAACTGTTGCACTGAACTCCAAGTGATTCCGAAGCTTCGAATCTTTTCGAATTCTAAAGAGGCTTTTATGACATTATCTCCCTTCAATCTGTCAATTATTCCATCCTTCTTTTTTCCTTCCAAACAATGTGGGATTTTTGGATGTGAGAAATTGACAGAGGTTCAAGAGATATTCAAGGTGGAACCGATTGAAAACTTTGAAGCAGAAGAGATCAAAAGGCTATTCAATGTGGATTCCATCAACAACAACCGAGTGCAGCTTTATAATTTTGTGATCGACAGAATGAGGCTTGTCACCCCACAGGTATAATTCTACTATTACTTAATCAGTACATTCATAATCATGTAACAATTGTTATTGTCCAGGTGTTGCAGGAATGCGGTATAACCAGCACATTCGTTATAGGAAGTGAAGTTCCTGTTCGATTTAAGCATTGCAGCAATGAGCAGCAAATCTCATTTTCTTTACCAATGTCATCTAATCCGAACCAGAAGATTCAGTGGTTCAGCTTATGCATCGTCTTCTCCATCACCAGTCGACCATCGGACATTCTACCAAGTGTGTGCATTTCTAATGAGACCAAAAAGATCACATGGAATTACCGCTCGAGTTTCATCGGAGTTCCTAAGAATAATGACAACACAATGTTGTGGTTAATCCATTGGCCGACAAGGAATTTTCAGTTAGAAGGTGGTGATCTTGTGAGTTGCACGGTAGCATCTATTCATCTCGGCGTAAGAAAACTCGGTGTTACTTACGAATCAGAAGAGAAACTTACATATCAACATGACTTTACACACTCATTTTCAGGTATGCTCCTATAGCACATACACCGGTAGTGGGGCTAGTACGGTAATACAGATCCTAAATCCTAAATAGTACACATGACATTAAAATAAACGGACTTGTGTAAACCAAAATTTATATAGTTTGTGTATCAGATGATTTCCCTTTCATAAACAACACTATTATTACATCTTGTAGGAGATGACTGCGCCACAAGAAACAGCAAGATGGACTTAACAAAGGATTTACTCAGTTTGGACTCAATTGAAAATGTCAAAGTGCAAGTCTGCAATTATTTAGAAGAATCAACAGTGATCACTTCCCCACAGGTTTCCTTTTCAATTGCTAAGCTTTTAAAGAGCAGTTCTATACTATATTTCTCGATATTTATTCTATAATTCGATGCAACAGGTACTGTATGATTGTGGCATAATTACAACGTTTCACCCGATGCCATTCGACCACTATGGCCGTTACTTCGGCCATCATTCCGGCAAGGCTGAGGTCTCAATGTCGGTGACTCCATTCCGGAACTCGAGTCGTAAAACCAGCTGCTTGCTGAATTCGATCATCGTTCTTTCTGCCAACAATGACAAAACATCTGAATTTTTACCATGCCTTGAAGTTGTGAACCAGACCAAAGGTACAAAGTGGACACATTCTAAACATTTCACGGGAATCCCAGAAACCAACAACACCTTATACTGGGTGATTAGCTGGAATTTTAAAGGTGATGAACTAGAAGTAGGTGATCATATCAGTCTTCGAGTGCTTTCGGATTTATGCGTGCTGGAACTCGGTGTGGAGCTTGTATATGATTATGAGCTTGATCACAGAACCAGCTCTTTTCACTTGTTGCCAGGGATGAGTAAATTATGTAATTATCTGCTTGGCACTTGTATTTATATTTTGGCTGCAACTTATAGAAGCTCGTATAGGATGCAAACTTTACTCAAATGTTGATTACTATAGCCTTTTAACTAGAATTGCTTTGCAGATTGTCTTCTTATATCAGTTGCTTTTATCCGGGATTTGATCCAAATTTTGTATAACAAATATATAATAAAATTATATCTTAATTCTCAAAATATAGGCATAATCATTGGCCATTAGGGGTGGTGGAAAATGCATAAATAGCCTATGAGCATGAAATTCAACAAATTAGAGGTTTATGATTCATTCATCTTTGGGGATATCCAATTCTTCAACATTAGTGTTGCTTTGGAAATTTCTTTTCTTTCAAGTTTTTTAACCAACTTCTCCCTTTACTAAATTCAAATGCCATCAATTACTTTCAACAAGTTGCTGCCTACCCTCGTAATTCTTCATATCCAAACACTTAATATATTTATTTATGGCTTAATTAGAAAATAAGTGTCCAGACTGTATCGTTTTTTCCAAATAGATGTCTAATTTTTTTATAAATCCAGGTGTCTAATTTTACAAACGATATCACTTTAGGTGTTCGGACCGTAACGGTTGTTACAAAATTTCGTTAAGTAACACATGTCACATTCTGATAATTTTAAAAAAATCATTATATTTATAAAAAAACTATTTTTCTATAATTACAAAAAATACAAATCCCTAAAAAAATCTCAAATCCCTAACCCTAAACTCCCTTACTAGCCACAATCACCGTCGTCGACACCGCCCTTGTCATCTCCTTTGTCAGTCGTCATCTCTCTTGTCGTCGTGCGCGTCGTTCGATCGCTTGGGTGTCGTGAATTTGGGGGTTTGAGTTCGTCGGAGATGCGGTTTTGGGTGTAGTGATTTTTTCATTTCCTTCGTCAGAGACTCAACGTTGTCATTAAGGCATGGGCACCTGAAGTGGTAACGTTTGTAATTTTTTAGTCACCTAGATGAACCGAAAAAAAGTTTGGGTACTTATTTTATAATTAAGCCTTTATATATATACACACACTACGAACCAAACAATCTCAATAGTTAAGGAATTTGTTATTACCTCTTGAGATCTCATGCTCAAAAAGGTATGAACCTGTATAAATTTTATATTTTAGTTGCTTACATAATTGAATATTAAGTAAATTAACAATAGATATTTCATGTCAAAATTTCAATTATATATTCTAGAAGAGTCTACTGAAAATTGAGAGGTATTATTTCATTCATTTGTTATTTAATCAATCTTCATATAAATTTTATTTCTGAGTTATAAATTCCAATACTTATAACAATTAAAAAAAACTTATATAAGCAATAGCGTCGTTTCTCTTATGCATTTTGCATGCGTAATTTGCGTTAGAATTGTCTTAAACCTACGAAATTTTCAATCTAGGAGATGTCTGCTTACATAAACAAACAAATTTCCAAAAAAAATACAAATTGCAGTAGGTTACTAAAAAAAAATTAGAACAAAGAATGCCTCAATTGAAATTAAACAAAAAGATCTTGTTCGAAAAACATGTCTTCGATTATACAAGTCAACTGAGATAAACTCCGAAATTAAGATTATGTACTACAAATCTCTCTTCAAAGTTTCAAAAGGAACAAACAGAAAAATGAAAGAAAAGAAGAAGAAGATTGTGTGATCAATTCATGGACACGTGACAAAACCATGGGGATAAGAGAACTGTCTCTGATCATAAGGATCAAGCTTCTCATGGCACGGAGAAGGCCCTGAAGGAGGCACCGGTCCTCGTGGAAGTTGAGTATTGTAAAAGTGTCCTAAACTCTTACTACCTTGGTTTATCGGCCGGATGCATCCCCCGACGGAAGCTCTCGACACTAACAGAAGCAAAACGACGACGACGACGAGCCTCGAGCAGTACTCGAAACGTTCCTGTGAATACCGCATGTCTTACTCCCCCGGCCCCCTCTGAGTTTCAGTTGCTTGTGCTGTTGAAACAGTAAGTACAACAAAGATTACATACAACGAAACCAACAGAACAGCGTTCGGATTTAAATGCCGTTGGCTTAGTCTAAGGAAACATTATAGACGAATAAAATATAGTTGATTTTCAAACATCGAATTATTAATATGCTATAAGTATTCCGTTCACTCTTAGCTTAATTTTAAAGGGAAAGTCATAGTTGAACACCGCAATAGCAGCAGCCATTATAGAAACAGTTCGTTCATGTAGTGTTTGTGTTATTTGTATGTTCAAATATCATATATTTTTTTACTTAGTGGGACGATGTAATATCTATTTGAAGACTCTCAATTATTTGACAATGAATGTTCAAATGATTATGTAGACGAATAAATAAAATACTATATTTTTTAAATGATTTTTTATGTATCAATTGTGGGTACTGCCTAATTTTAATTATTTTTGTTCCAGGATGAGAGCAAGTATTCTTTAACAACCCTTATTGCAGTCTTCATTCTACAATGGCTAACTAAATTTTGTTTTGAAGATCAAAAAAAGTCTGCTGAATTTTCTCTTTTTCTATGATAAAAATGGACATATAAGTTAGGAATGCTATAAAAACGTGCTTTTAGAATACAGTTCCAGGAAATTACGCCTAGTCATTATGTGTTGCATGGCTGATGTTAACCTCTTCCAAGTTCATGAAGTGGGCTTTGTTCTAGGACTTGAATACTGTAGCCATGGAAGGAGTCTATGCGTGGACTGAAAAAAGCTTAAGGCCCAGAAGAAGTTTTCTCTTTGATGTATTTAAAGTTAGCTCTATTGGACTTTGTTCCGTCTTGGTTGGGAGAGTAAATAAACATATCGTTCAATGAATTGTTCGTATAATATTTATTTACGTTTGTTTATTAAGTTAGATAAATAAGTATGAATAATTTTTTTTGTTCATTTATGTTCACCGACAAACTAATTGTTTGAAAGCTTGTTTATTGGATCATTAATCAATTCATTTATAAGCTTGTTTAACGGTTCTTCTTTTCCTTTTATTTTTTTACATTTTAAATAACAGTAAAGGTATGGATTAAATTAAACATATTATAAACTTCAGATTTTAAATTATAAAGTCTAAGGAGATTAAGGATTGCACCTTTCTTTAATCAAATATAAGGGACACGATCTAATTATTAGGGTGGTATTTTATCATGACATAGTTTCACCATTTTTCTTTGACTTGTAAATAGAATGATAAAAAGAGAGTATTGGTTGTCACGAGAATTCGACCTATATAAATGAATATATCCATGAACGTTAAACAAATATGTTGGCAAATGTTAAACGAATGTGTTTGTGAATGTTAAACAAACCAAACACAAACACCTTTAAAAATAAACAAACAAACACATATTAAATACTTAAACGGACATTAACACCTTGAAAAATAAACAAATAAACACGAACGCAATCTTATTTATTCTAACCTGATTCATTTACACCCCTGTTCTCGACATTTCTGTGCCTGATGGTGAAGGTCCATATCAATAAATATCAAACTGTCATGGGAGATGTTTTACTGTGTCTTATGTGTGCATTTGTGTTTGGAATTATTGGCCTAAACCATTCATTTTCCTATTATAGGGATATGAAAGGCATTTCGGATTTTAATAGGAAAAAAAAAAGGCTTTACGTGATGAAGTTGAGGTTAAGCTCAAATGAATCCCATGAATTTTGTTTCTTCTGTGTTCATTTCTTCATAACGACTCTCTGTTGACTATGGTTAATGGGTTTTCAATATAATAAAGATGTATCACCTTCTGTTTTCTATGATTGGTTAACACGTTTGTCCATTCTCTAGGACCTATTAAACTTCAAAATTCGAACATTAAGGGGGCGTTTGGTTCAGCGTATCTCACATTACCAAGAGAATAGAATGTCAGTCCCCCATTTGGTTGGCAAATATTCTCAGCCTCCGGTAATAAGTTATTCTCAACCGTGGTATTTTAAGGGTATATTACCGGGAATGTGATTACCCACTTCCCTTAATTATTGTTACATTCCCGGTGTTTTGGACTAAAATGCCCTTAAAAATTTTCAAAAATATCCTTATTATGTCGTTGAATAAAAAAAATTCTACGAATGTTAAATTAGAAATTTATCCTTAAACTATTTTAGATTTACAAAAAAAAGTCCATAATTAGAATTTTATATGAAGTTCAGGGGTTAAAATAAAATTTTACCCTTTCATTAAACCTATTTATCTTTTCAATTTTGTAAAAAAATTATATAAATTTTATGAATTTAAAATTTTTAAAGAAAATATATAAATAAATTATAGTAATATTATAATAGAATTCAACTTGTTAAAAAAATAATTATATAATAAGGACAATTTGGTAAAATATGCATTTCAATAATATTTTATTCCTTTAACCAAACAATGTAATCTTACATTCATGCTAAATGAACCAAACACAAAATACAACATTCCCAGTAATCTTATTCCCGCTGGTAATCATATTCCCACTGGTAATCTTGCATTCCGTGAATCAAACGCACTATAAGAATATGTTTGGGTTAATAGTAATCGGATTCAAATTATTTATGAATTTAGGATTTAAGGTCATATGGCATAGTATGCATTATAGTTGACCCAAATTTGATATGACTCAAGTTTATCGAAGAAAATAAGAACTTGGTATGATTTAAGTAATAAATTTATTTTATTTTATGTTGATTGAAAGTCAAAAATATAGTTTAAGTAGATTTCTTACCATACAAGTTTCTTATGTAATCAGTTAACTATCCCTATAAATAGATATTTGGAATTAGGTTTATAATGTCATGTTGATCGGTATGATTTTTCTTGTATTCATTTATTTTAGATATTAATAAAATTTCTTCTATTTTATTTGTGATTTTTCTTAAATGGATATTTCCCGTAAAATCTTGATATTTATTTTATTGTGTGGTCACTATGTTTGTTGCAGCTATGAATAACAAGAAAGATGAGTCACCTACGTTGCATGGATTAGGGGCATGTTGTTAGTAATGAGCTGTTATAATGAGCTGTCATAGTTGTTAGATTATTCTAGAATTATGATTGTATGTAGGGCCTTATATATAGTGTAATGT